ACCGTATCACTTCTGCTGGAGCTTGAGCACGAGTGAGGTCGGGCCGGATCAGGTGAACTACCGTACAGTACAAATGCCTCGTCCCACCTAAATAACCGGAATCATGCCAAAATGCATCTATGTGTTGAATCATGACGAATTCAGCAGCCCAGAATTGAAAACAAAAGAAAACTTCCACGCAAAATCCTGCATTACAAAAGAAAAACTTAAACAAACTCCATTCCGTCATTCTGCCTCGGCCACCACGCGCCCGAGCCTCGATTCCAATTCCCTCTTTCCTTGCCAAACCACCTGGGCTTTCGATATATCACCTCCGAGTCACAGATATCCCTGCCATCCCCCGACTAGACTCCGCGTATATCCCGTTCTCCTGTAGAGAGAGTGGAAGAGAGTAAGGTACGTTAATTGTACTACTTGAGTCTATGACTATTGTTGGAAATACAGCTTCCTGTATTTCTTTCCATTGACCAATGTGGTTGTATGCATCTTGCCTGAGGTATATTTGAGAGTTCAAGCAGGAGCCCATACTTCTGACCCTATCAGACTCAAATTTTGAGACTGCTTGAATCCCATTCCCGCAGATATCCAGCAATTGGTTTGTTTGTCGGAAAATAGTTCAATTTGGTCTGCACTGAGTGTAGTGCATCTCTCAGTTGCTGAGTCATTGTCTTGATGACTCAGCCAATACCACGAACTACACGTTCACGATGTTCTTAGACAGAGAATGAGCAATACATACCTCACTTTCATACCTTTCGTTTTGCATTGAACTAACCTTACTTATACGTAAATTAAGGCCAATCGACATTGTTCGTATTTTCTATTGCATGACCCAGTATTCTGAGTCAGTGAATAATTCTTTTCTGGTCTGGGATCTCACTTATTTCTACAGTCGAGTCTGTTCCGGATAATCTTTCTTCCTTGTAATCCCACTGTATATATCATAAAACCTGTAGTCTATAAATCAATTAAGCAAACTGAACTTCTTCTCCGTTCTCAAGCAATTCTTACTCCGAAGTTCTCTCCATACTCTAAAAACTATCTAGCACATTGGGCTCCTATCTAGCCCAGGCCACACGTTGTACAGTGCTCCTTGCCTCTCATGTTTCTTGAGAGATCATTGATATATTCCCCTTGATGAATAACTATTCAGCTCAGTGTTTACCCGTGGAATTCGGCCACCTTTTCCACGAAACCTTCTACCCAAAAAAATTAAAAATGGTAGCAATGGAAACTGCGTGCGCGGGAAAAAGTCTCAAAAAACCTGCAGCCCCGGCCAGTCGAGGCCTAGACACCGGGACCACATGAGGTGCGCCTATTCATCTACGTCTCCCTTCTTTGTAACGTTCGAGGCCATCTTAATCCAATTCACCATCTCCGTATCGGGTGCTTGGTCAGCTCTGGAAACTCATCGGATGGCTTCTCCTCCACGATCAAGGGTAGGTGATGAAAAGGGCTTCGATCCTAAAATCTGATCCGATAGTCGTTAGCTTCATGATAATGGTGCTTGGGAGCTGTATAGAGAGGTGGAGACGATACCAAACGCGAAAGCGATCGGGTATTCTCATCGAAGGATGGAGTCGTTACTTAATTTCGGCTCTGTAGACTCTAAAGTGAGAGTCAGAGGTTCGTTTGTGATATCAACATCAGGGGTCGAGTTTCGTATCCTTCGTCGATATCGGAGTTGCGTTAAAAAATGAATAGGGCGGCATCAATACCCGCATCTTTATCGCCACCGTGTTTAGAGGTGTTGCTCGAAAGTATTGCGGAATATACCTACTTTGCTGTGGCATAGGCAGGTAATTTGGTCGGTCAAATAGTCTAGTAATACAGTTGGAAGTTCGTTAATGAAGTTATTTCCCTTTTCTCCCCTAGATGTGAGATTGTCGGGCAGCGGATGCTTTGTTAGGGGTTCTTGAAGATGTCGCCCCTTAAGTTATGCAGAGTGATTCCATAGCTTCTTCAGATGTCGATCCTGTCATAAAAGTACAGTATTGCATTAGCTCTAGTGCAGAACCAAAATATTACAACATTTAGGACTTCCTTGCTAACTTTCGCTCGAGCGGTGTCCCTTCAGGCACAGAGGTTATCATGGAAGTATTCTCACAGCTCGCTACCTAGCCAGTCATACTTTTCAAATTTGCGTACACAATATATGACGTGGCTCTCTGAGGCAATCTACTCCAACTTCGAAAGACTAAGCTGGTAGCTAACTATCTTCCCCAAAATGATAGAATCAACTTGCAGACTAGTTGATTGGAATTTTTACCAATCAGCAGGCTTGCTAGAGCCATGTAAGTATAAGCTGGGCGCTGATTTTGCTACCACTATTGCCTTCGGTCATTTTGCTCGTCTCATCGGTGTAGATGAGGTTGTAGATGATAGGAAAAATATTCAGTAGATCGTCAAACGTAGTTGAATATATGAACAGGGGCATATAATAGAATTTGTAGTCAGGAGTAATGGATACTAGTGAAGTGAATGTGTAAATAAATCTGGACAGTAACTTAACGTGCTGCTAGATTCAGAAGTCTTATCCTGCTGATTTGTAGGTAAATAGTCACATGATGATCACGATAGATATACAATAGTTTAACACCGGTCTGTAAAGTCAGGTCTTAGGAAATCAAAGGTTTTCAACCGCTCCTTTGGTGGGTACTCACGGAAGAGGGTAGATTGTTTGTGTAGGCAAACATACTCTTTAGTGGTATTTGCAAATGAAATCCAGAGTATGAGCATATCTAACGTCAAAAGAGTCATCCATCGAATATTCATAACACCGGTCACACGTCATATTTAGATAGCAGAATACGCAATAAATGATAAAAATTAATATCCTGTCTTTCGCTTCTTACCTTGCCGTCCCGTTATTAATTATCTACTAGTTCGCATGCTAATTAAATCACTTGTCAGAGATGGTATCACAAGTAAGTAATAGAATAGAATTTTATTTATGTCCTTACTGAGTCTATGACTATGAAGGACAGCTAAAACTATCTAAATAGCTTTAAAGTTAACAGTAATGTTGTATATTGCTGTGCTTAATTTTTGCCAATAGATGATGAGGGTCATGCCCTATCAAGTAAGTAATATCTGCTGCGACGTACGGACTAGCAAAGATATCTGTCCTTGTGCTTCCTTTTCTTATAACCTATGGACTAATACTTCAGTTCCTCTCACTGGTCCGTGCAGCTTCCGAATCATGCGTGCAGGTGTCATTGACTATTGACACCGCCAAAAAACCCACGTTTAGGTGACTTTCCTTTCTCAAGTTTTGTTTCAATACTTCCTCCCCTTGTTTTTTTGGAACTCTAGGGGGGTTAAACCTGTAGCAGATAACGGCTTTTGTTGGGTGTAGCTTTACAATTTGCAAGATTCAAATTGTCTCGCTTTCTGCAGAGGAGGTTATCTTCTAGAAATACGTTAGATAGTCGTGAATATCCCTTATCTCTGCTTATCCTTGGAGATTATTAATTCATCACTTCTCCAGATAGAGATCAGATATTGCTAACAGTGAAATATAAGAAATTTGTCAAATTTCAGTAAGCTCTGACAAGCTCGCACCAGCTTGAAATTACAATGAGATTAAATCTTCCCTCTAGAAACATGTTGAAATATCAGCCGTTAAGTTTGATACCATATATGAAGGCATTTATGATAGCATCAATTACACTTCTAAGATACTAGAGTCTGACTCAAGTGGAACAATAAAAATATGCTTCTAAGCCAAAGTATGACCTTATTTTTACAATTATAAACGTTTGAAGCTCTGTTCATGCCGACCAGTGAGTCAATATGTGACATAGCTGACGTAGTGCATTTCATTGAAAATAAATTGTATGATTTACAATAGCTGATGAGAACTCTACTCGAAAAAGATGCATTCTACTTCATGACGAGTGGAATTGTGCCGTAAAGTACTATTATATCCATAAGTATAAGAAAGGTTCTTTTATCCCGTGCGTATCAAGATAACAGTAGAAGATAATTACATGATAAATAGATTAGGGATGACTGAATACAATGGTCATTTTTGGCCTTAAATGGCTACAAGAAATCTTTGTATCCACACATTTATTAAAAACATATTTGTCATAGATCCATTTCGAACAGTGAATCATTATCAGAAACATAATATGATTTATATAAAATAACGTGGCATTTCACCTAGGAATCTAGGGAATTCTGGAACTAGGCTCGTCTTAGAGTGTGTACGTTGGTTAAGTTTGGAAGCTTTAAGGCTGTTATATAATTAAGAATTATGTCTCCATCGGTTCTGTGAAAGGTTCTCACTGTCATCTATAAAAGTGAAAATTTCCTTTATGTTGAGGCAATTCTGCAGTACTGAGTTCCCAGAAAAGTGACTTTGACACAGTGAAATAGCTCGATGAAATTTTCCGCATCTTAGACGCACCTCCAATACCTCTCACAGGCAATTGAGGCATACGACCGATAGCGCGACTTCAGAAACTTTTTCCATCATTTTATTCCCTGTTTTGTATCTTCGACTAGAATACAGTCAACAATATCGGAGACATCAGATCTTAATCATGTAGAGCAAGTTTAGTTCGATAAGGAAGTAAATGGGGTAGCTTCAGGTTGTTTGAACTTTTCTCCTAACCCTTTCACTAAGTGTCCTATTCCGTTAAACAAAATCGATATCCATGGAAAGCCTTGGATTGTTTCAGCCATTTTGGTTATACTGGGGCATTAAACTTATCAATTTAAAGGCGTTCAAAGCTGTTTTCTAGGTCTTCGAGATAAATATCGGAGCAAAATAATCGGGGAATTCCAAAGTTTGTAGCCGAAAATTTGCAGTAGAAGATCATGTCGATAAGGCGTACCGCATGCCTCGCTAATTTACGAGCCTGGATGTGTGATAAATCGAGCATATACCCAAAGGTACACCTTTAAAGGTTTGGTTCGGAGAATGGACTGTTGAAGAAAAGTCTGACAAGATATGAGAGCAAAATGTGCATTAATTTGCAATGAAAACTCAATCAAGTCGTGAGTCTGGTAACACCTCTTCCGTGATTAATCTGAACTTTTTTGTCTTCCCCACTACTGACCATTCCAACTTCTTTATCCCAATGTACTCCGAATACTTTGATACCCTCACCACCAACTGGTCTCTTTCCCTGGTGACCTTCACGTTCAATAACATAGACTGCCTCACTAACGACCCCGTTCCCTTCTTCTTTAGTACCTGATCTACTACTTCTCAAGTCCCAGATTCGGCAGGTGCCATCATGACTTCCACTCACTAATCCATAATTACTCTCAGGATCGCTAGCCAGTGAAACAACTTTGTTGGTGTGGCCTCTTAAAGTCATCACTTGAGTCGACTGAGCCGAAACACGTGGGTCTATAAGTGTGATATGCCGAGCACTAGTACCAGCAGCCAAAAGTTGCGTACTAATGCCCGGTAATGCGACCAGGGAGAGAAGAGGATGCGAAGTGGTTCGTGTGTCCACTAAAATGGATGTCGTGAGATCAAAAGTCCGAATGCTATGATCTTGAGATGCTGAATATCCAACAGTTGAGTCAAGAGGGTTAAATATAACGGCTGTGACAGGTCCTAAGTTGGATGAAAGAATTGAAAGGGGTCCGCGCTGAGGCGTCGATGCCATTGTTTCCAGCTTCCGACGTTTAGATGCTGATTCAGGTGCTAGAAGGCTTGCCGGTGCTTCAGGTGCAGTATTCTTGGAGAAAGACCATACTCCCATTGTCCCATCGTTCGAGCCAGAAATCATGCGACCTGAGGGGCCATGTACATCAATCGATTCAACTGCCCCACGGTGTCCGTACAAAGTCAGTTTTGGCGTCAATTTTCCGTTGAAACCTTCGTCTGACTGAGTAAGCTTCCATACTTTAATGGTCCTATCTAGACTAGTTGACGCAATCATAGTTGGTGAAATAAACTTGGCCGCCTTAATACTCGATAAATGCCCTCCAGACTCATAACCACCTGAAGTGGTAACAACTTGTCCACTCTGATTCCAGATCCGTAAAAGTCCGTCATAGGAGCCCGAGAGGATTAGCTCTCTGCCTAAGGGTACATTATTTCCTCCCCAGCTCCCTGCGAGAGAATGTGTTGAGATAACATCCACGCAACTAACCCAGTCATCATGCTCAAAACTAGCCTTGTAAGAAGGCGGGATCAAACTTCGAACGTATTGTAGGTTGAGCCTGGTTTCGGAAGACAGTCCATTAGAGCGAAGATATTCTTCGAGGCTAGTTCGCAAGAAACTACCATTGATAAGGAAATCAAAAGGAATCGGTACAGAAGTGCTTAGCATAGATTCCGAGTTGAGAATCTGGGATAAGCCATATCTCTGCACGTCTATCAAAATTAATAAGTTTTCCTTGAGGGCTACAATGAAGGCCTACAAGTTGGGACAAGGAGATTTCTCCTAGATTCGGGCAATGCGATATCTTCAGAAGTCGTACTAAAATATACCTGTACTTGATTGTGCTTCGTATCGGGGTTACTGACTTCCATTTTGCTGTTGGCGAATCCCTGAATCCAATTAAGTAGAAGAGTCGTGCAGGGTCATTTACTGCCGATATCGATGGTGTCGGTAATTACAATTGCTTCAATGTCCAGAGAGAATTCAGCTTCTAATCAAATCTTATCGACTGAAAAAAAAATACAACAAATGCACTAGTCTCCCACTGTATCTGCATAGAATTTTTGTATTTTCTGATAGGCGAGCACCAATGCGCGAATCCTCAGGGGTATTCCTTGACATCGCAGACTTTAACAAGAGCCTTTAAGCGAAAGCTTTGTTATTTAACCTGAAATTGTAACTCAAATTGCATCCTACTTTCGTGTAGCCTAATTACGCGCAATGGAACATAAAGACTAAACTACTTTTTATGGTTTAATCTTCGAATACGGGGCGTAATATTTCCCTGATCTACGAAAAAGCGACGGCAAACTAAATTTGAGAATTTTGCGTACAGATAACAATTGAGAAAGAAAAAAACATAAATTTTTTCATAAAGCTGCGCAGCGTTCCACGATATCTTTATCATCAATTTGACATCATGAATTTAGACATCTTCTTCACCATTCAATTATCATTCCGCTTTCCGTGTTACAAAATGCTGGACGTGGGTGCTGGTGTGGGTAAATCCAGCGGTTTTGAAGCGTCGCAGTAAGCGACAATTGCGACCACAAACAACGGCAGCGGAGCCTAGATAGCACCAAAGAATTAAAACTTGGGGAATCTTGTAAGAGGATTAGACTAATCGTCATGGGCGAGATGGATGAGGAGGACTTGCCAACAATGAAGGACGTAAATGAAGCCATGAAGGCATTTAATTATCGCAAGAATGCTCGGTCAATAATAGTCCAGATCCCGTCTCCCGTCGAGGAAAGAATAATGGCACTTGGGGGCTATAAATAAGAGCCTCGCGAACCCCACACGAAGAGCCATTCCAAGAGCAGTTTCGGGTGTATTGATACCGTTGATCTATGCGGTCATCGTAGCTCTGCAAATGAAGAAGACGGTGGTAAGAATAAGAATTGATGGAGCGAAAAAACTAAAGGCAGAAGAGCTGCTTTCAAAGGCTAAAGAACACATCCAAGGATCATATGCAATTTGCCAAATGCGAACAACACTAAGATGTTTGTCCAGCTAGCATCCTATAGAGATGCGGCGCTTAACATATGTCAACCAGCCGACTTCAAAGTTTTAAGGCAAGATTTTCTCGTTGAGGTCCTCGATGTCCCACTGCGGACAAGAATAAAAGGTAGCAGAGATGCCCACAACTACGCTTTCTCTAAGTAGATAGTGATGGCGACTAGGGCTTGGATTCTCAACCTAAAGTTTAATCGAATACAAAGGCCATTTGACTGAAACGAACACCAAAGGTTGAAGAAGAACGGCCGAAATAGAGGATTAATCGTGGTCAGACTCCCATCTGAGGCAGTACAAAAGGAAGTAGCTCGACATAGCCTTGTGATTAATCTCGTACTTTACATCGGTCAAGTGTGGTCACCACGGGCCCAACCAAGATATTGCTTCGACTGCAGCCTTTGGTGATACACGCAGGCGTCGCGAAGAAAGATAGCCAGGCGCTCACCTAACCTAGAACTGTCTGATGTTAAGGACTTCTTGTGCGAACTACGGCATGAAACATCGTGAATGGCAAAAAGCAACACGTCGGATCTACCAGGTCTACAAAGAAAGTGTTGACAAGGCTTGAATGGAGCTTCTATCAAGTAAGGCGGATATACGGAATGAAAACCCTACAATGGTGTTACGGGGCTACTATTGTGGTTATGAGCTGTGAGGTGTATGGCAATTATGACTCTGCTGTCCGTCGGTGGAGTGGCACGGGCTCATGTGCGATGGTGAGTCACGGAGATGGCGCGATGGACACTTAGTGCGTATCGCTGTGGCCAATGGGTGTTAATAGGTATCAAATGGGAACTCTTACTCACAATGGTAGTCTATCCAAATAATACCATACTTCACACCTTCCATTAGATGATATTATCAATCGTTGGGATGCACATCTAGCATCACCTTCACAGATCACCATTGTCAGTAAGAGTTCACATTTGATACCTACTGACACCCATTGGCCACAACAATACGCACTCAGTGTCCATCGCGCCATCTCCGTGACTCACCATCGCACATGAGCCCGTGCCACTCCACCGACGGACAGTAGAGTCATAATTGCCATACACCTCATAGCTCATAACCACAATATTTACCCGCCACTGGTTGTTTGGGCTGGTCTGCGTGCTCAGCCTTGTATATAATTCGGACTTGGTGAAAGGCTGGGCCTTTCGCACAGAAGTTCCCTCAATAGTGCTTATGTAAGGTGATCGTCAGGGCACACTTTGTGTCCGTACGATCCAGTTGTAGTTATCTCTCCCATATAAGATTATTTATTATTATTGGTGTTACTTGCGTGCGCTAACCGTCTACTTTAACCGTTCACAAATGGCGCCAATATAAACAGTCGGAACGTCTTATGATCAGGTTTTCACTCTGGTCACAATTAAGAAGTCTGAAGAACCTTAAAGAGGACTTTGACGACTGCATGATATAGTCGAATCCACCGCGGCACCAACAATTGCACTGACAGAAACACGACTAACATGTTGAAGTCTTCAAACACTACGAAGACCTGGGCCGGATAAGGAGGTAAATTCTCGTTACAACTTGCCCTAAACTGGGTCTAATCGAAAGGGAGTTGACCAAATCTTCGGAAAGTTTATGAAATTGTGCTTGGAATGAAAGTCTTCGGCATTAAGCCGGTTTGAATCATAGCGGCAGGACACTGGCTTTTTTTTGGTTAAAAGCTTTTTCCCAGATGAATGCAGCTTACCGTCTACATGGTTCTATTTGTTTACATTAGTTAATTGTGCGACTTGAATCTATGAAAATCTAACATATTGGGCTCCTATCCTACCCAGGTCACATCTTGTTCAGTGCTCCTATCCCCTTTTGTTACTAAAGGATCATTGATGTATTCCCCTTGATGAATAACTATTCAGCTCAGTGTTTACCCGTGGAATTCGGCCACCTTTTCCACGGAACCTTCTACCCAAAAAAATTAAAAATGGTAGCAATGGAAACTGCGTGCGCGGGAAAAAGTCTCAAAAAACCTGCAGCCCCGGCCAGTCGAGGCCTAGACACCGGGACCACATGAGGTGCGCCTATTCATCTACGTCTCCCTTCTTTGTAACGTTCGAGGCCATCTTAATCCAATTCACCATCTCCGTATCGGGTGCTTGGTAAGCTCTGGACACCCATCGGATCGCTTTTCCTCCTTGATCAAGGGTTAGCGATAAGAAGGACTCCGACCCTACCATCTAATCTGATCGTGGTTAGCTTCATGATAATGGTGATAGGGGGATGTGTTGAGAGATGAAGACGATACAGACCGCGCAAGCGATTGGGAATCCTCGTCGAAGTGAGGACTTTGTTACTCAATCTTGGCTCTGCAGACTCTACAGTGAGAGCTGGAGGTTCGTTGGGGACACCACTGACAGGTGTTGAGAATAGTGTTGTGATCAGGCCCACTTATATATCACACAACTTGGAATGGCTAGCATTAGGCAAGTGTAACCGACAGGACAAGCGACCCTGTGTCAATGATACGTCATCGGCACACAGAAATGACAACACAAGTATCTCAACCATACATGATAGTATGATAATATGACGCAGGTATATCTAATGACATAGTTGTTGAATGGCTGAATGGTTGGCAGTTATTGCTATTGATGGTATATTGTATGTATTGTCTTTGTGTATAAATACTCGCTGCTAGACCTCTGTACATGATTAACCTTTTCCACTCTTATTTTCAATAGTCATCAATATAGCGGATATACAATACATATCCGTCTGCTTCACCTTGGGCTTAAAGTGCTATCCTAAATCCACCCAATTTGACTGTTACACCCATTGTGACAATTCTTAGACTTCTTATAACCTCGTTATTACAATAAATAGTCCCCAAAAATAGCAGTACTGTCGGAAAGTGGCTCTATTTGCTATGCACTAAGTATGATGCGGAGGGCAAGACTTGATACCTGGGCGCGATATCCTCTACGAAACTGGGAGTGAAATATTCTCCCAGAGCCAAGTTTAGTCAAATTTCGTATTACCGAAGAAGTTGGCCTACCAGGCAATGATTCAAAATACTCCAACCCATCAAATTTTCACTTACAACGAGTTCAACTCCTATCTAGGTCTCATCAAGTCCACAAGTACGACCTAGTACATCCTCATCCCAATGATCACACCTCTCGTCGACTTTCTCTGGCCTCTATTCGTCACCAAATACACGACCCCGCCGACGTTTACACCCAACGGAGGAAGCAAAGCGTGGCGCACAAATCTGGGAGACAATGCTTCGGGATGAACGTGAGAGGGATCCGGAAAATTTTACAAAATGATTTGTCTGGGGGTAACATTTCACCTACTAATGTTAACTAAGTGGATACCGGGACATTCTGAGATTACCTGGAACGAGTAGGCGGACAAATTGGCCAAGGCAGCCCTGAGATACCTCTTAGACTTAAGGGGTGAGCAGATATACACCTTTGCAGCGCTGAGCCGGCTCGTCCGAGAGTAGGCCGAGGAAGCTGTGGAATCCTGGTGGCTTCAAAATAGACTAAAACGGTACGAAGAATTAGACCTTCTAATGGGACGAAAACGACCACCAGAGTTTGGACTGCCGAGATGGGCATACCATCGTCTGATAGCAGCGAGGACATGACACGGAGATTCCAAGGGCTACCACGACAGATTCAGGCATAAAATACAGACTGTAGATGCGTCTGTATAAGGGAAAGACGTCCTTGGCACTTTGCAGAGTGCCAAACGGCTTTGCGACGATGGACAATATCCAGACATGAACCACCACCAAGAAGTCGGGTTATGTTGGTAGAAAACGGATGGGAGGAATTTGTAAAAAGGAACTTCGATTGGTTTTCATTTTTCTATTTGTTTTGCCAGTGTCGAATAG